ATAATTCATATTCATTTAAACTCATGATCTTAATTAAAAAGATAGATAGATATATATATATATATATATATATATATATATATATACACATATACACACACACACACACACAGTATCTCACAGAAGTGAGTACAACCCCTCACATTTTTGTAAATATTTTATTATATCTTTTCATGTGACAACACTGAAGAAATGACACTTTGCTACAATGTAAAGTAGTGAGTGTACAGCTTGTATAACAATGTAAATTTGCTGTCCCCTCAAAATAACTCAACACACAGCCATTAATGTCTAAACCACTGGCAACAAAAGTGAGTACACCCCTAAGTCAAAATGTGCAAATTGGGCCCAAAGTGTCAATATTTTGTGTGGCCACCATTATTTTCCTAGCACTGCCTTAACCCTCTTGGGCATGGAGTTCACCAGAACTTCACAGGTTGCCACTGGAGTCCTCTTCCACTCCTCCATGACGACATCACAGAGCTGGTGGATGTTAGAGACCTTGCATTGGAGGATGCCCCACAGATGCTCAATAGGGTTTAGGTCTGGAGACATGCTCACTTCTCTGAGATACTGTATATATAACTGTCCATTTCAGTTTTTGACCAAATGCATCCTGAATTTTCAGTTTCGGTCTAGAATGTTGAAAAAAAGACACAGAGCCAGCCAGTTCAACCAGTTCAATCGGTGTGTGTGGTTTTTATTCTAACAATAACCATAGTCCTGTAAATTCATTCTTCTTAGGGACATCTAAAAAAAAAAAAAAATTTGAAATTGTTATTACTGTCAGCTAGTACCACATCCTTGGGGAAAGTTACATATTTTTTACTGCTCTAACAGTAAAGACCCCTTTCCACAATCTAAGGATAAACCTCCTTTTTTTTTCTAACCTTAAATGATGGCCACGTGTCCTCTTCGGGGACCTTAGAGTAAACAGTTTATTACAGGTACTGAAGTCACCTGTAAATGTTGTGTGTGATGCATAGGCGTTATGGAGTGAATATATTTACAGTTGATAAGGGTAATACACTATCTGAGTTTGAGGTTTGTTTTTTTTTTTTTTTTTTTTTTTGAGGATTTGGTCTCAGAAGTCACTTTGGAAGCGGCTTTCAACTTAAAGGTTTTTGAACTTTATGAATGACTTTATATTTTGAAGGAAAATTTCATTTAATTTTGTTTTTGGGACTTCTATTTTTGATTACTTAGGGCACTGTTTGTTTATCTATTTGGGTTAGTAAGCATAATTTTATATAACAAAAGTATCCATAAAACAAGCAACAGGGGTCCACTTCGGTATATTTTCTTGATTGTCCATTCATTACAAGTGATAATGGATCTTATGGCTTGGCTCTGAAATCTGCTGTCTCATACTTCCAATATGCTGGGCACAAGATTATTTTTGCTGCTGCATATATGTACACAACCCTGCACTGTATTTGCAGCTTAAGGGGGAGCAGTAAAACCATGGCTCAACTGTGTGTTTTATCTTCCATCTTAACCACAAGTGTTGTCTTAGAAATACACAAACATGTCTAAAAAAAAATGTGGGATGTCTGTTCCAAATATTGGTATTTTACTATGAGCGGAGAGCACTGGTGTGATGTCCAGCCCTGCTACTGGCAGCCTGTCAAACTCTGAGAGACTGACAGCTGCTGCAGCTGGAAGGTGCACCTAGCAGTACTTACATTTAGGCTGGTTCACGCTACTTGTGTTCCAGTGCATATTTGTCTGCATCCAAAAAGCACTGAAAGTAGGGGTTACATGGTTGTCAATGGCATGGTTCACACCATTGCTTGTAGTTCCAGTGCATTCCAGTTCCAGACAAAAAGTAGAACATGCTGCATTTTTCCCCGCACAGAACTGTACTGGAACACGTCAAAAACACACCAGAAAACATCAAAAACACACCAAAATGTATTGGACCCCCAAATGACTCAAATAGGAAATAAAAGCATGTAGAAAGAATGACAAATGCACAGAAACATTTCAAAACTGCGCATGCAGAAACCCATCCAGACTACTTTTCTATGATGTGAACTGGCCCTTAGGGTAGTTATGCGCTCAGGGATGACTACTCAGCAGCAGAGCAAATGGTTTTACAGAAAAAGAAGTGTCTAGGGAACTTTGAAGCAACATACCATGACTTACAGCAATAGGGTCAGGTGATTGTAGCACTACCTGGATGCATACAGTTGCAACATGTCATTTTCAAAGCACAGTAATTATTACTATTTATTTTTATGGCATGTTTCTCTCAGCAAGACGCAATAGACTCATTCAAGGTGATAGGCCATCTTTTAGAATTGCTGCCATTGTATGCCATTAATACTTGTTTTTGATTGTGGATAATCATGATGGCCTGAATTTGAACAGATTGAGTAGTATTTGGTTTATGATTGCAGTGTTGCCACTATCTTTTGGAGGACTTGTCCTGTTGTAGGGGAAATTACATATATTAGCAGATGGTATTTGTGGATATGACTCTCATGGTATAATCACAGTGCAAAGAATACAGTTTAAATTTATGGAGCTCATCTAGGCAGGGATTAGCACAATTTGTCTGCATTCTCAATAATTGAGTTTTCTGTGTCATTTGGATGGATTCTACACCATGTATGCTGTGTATGTATGCTAGTATGAGATATATATGGAATAGCTTTATTGACTGTTTCTGAAGAGTCCATATGTACACAATAACATTGCATTTAACTAACATCCTTGTATGATGATATGGTTCTTGCTTTTGGAGAATTTGAAACACGCCACTACCTATGTTTGTGAGATATACAGCCGATTCCTATTATTATTACACAGGATATATATAGCGCCAAACGTTTGCTCAGCGCTTTACAATATAACGGGAGACAATACAGCAACAGTACAGTTCAATACAAGAGGGATAGGAGGGCCCTGCTCCTTGGAGCTTACAATCTAGGAGGGAGGGGCTAGTGGTACAAAGGGTAGTAACTGTGGGGGATGGACTAGTTGGAAGAGTAGAAGATTCCATTATTAGCTGAGGGAGAGGTTTTCAGAGATCGCCTAAAAGTGAGCAGAGTAGGCGATAGTCTGATAAATTGGGGTAGAGCGTTCCAGAGGATGGGGGAAGCTCTGGAGAAGTCCTGGAGACGAGCATGGGAGGAGGAGACAAGGGAGCTGGAGAGTAGGAGGTCTTGCGAGGAGCGGAGAGTACGGTTTGGGTGATCACAGTTGAACTTTGGATATGTGCATATGGATATATACATACATACACATACATGTTCTTCATTTGAGATCCTGTATGATAGAGCAATATACTGTACATGCACCAGCTTAGACTTGACATTTCTTAAAGTTTGTCACTATGTTTTTTAATAATTGCAAATAATTACAAGAGCATTACTGTAAATAAAAATGCTGAATGGAGAGAGCAGTTCCTGAAGTCATTCCTCAGGGTAATTTTTTATGAGTTTATATATACATTTGTTTTCCAAGGTTCATTGAGCCATCTTAAACAGGTTCTTTCCAGTATTTATTGCTTAGTGAGAAGTGACTGTAGAGGTACATCCGAGACATTATTTCTCTGCTCTTTCCTGTAGAAATATAATTAATGGAAATGTTCCAGGGAAGAATAATTCATTACCTTGTGCCCTGGTATCTGCATAAACCAAGGCATCCCAGTGTCCCAGCGGAGTGATCAGAGCAAACAAATGTCAGATTTCTCTGACAGGGTTACCAGAACAGTTCACAGGGGAGGTGCAATTGATGTGGTTTATTTCGGTTTCAGTTCCTCCTTTGATGCTGTTGCATTCACAGACCTGAAGACAAACTGAGTATCTAGGGAGTGAATCCTAGAACGGTCAGGTTGATGACAGATTGTCATCTTAGAACAAGTAACTAGTGTAGCAGCACAAGTGCTCTTACTTTGGCTAGTTATTCATGGTCTCTAAGGAACACAGTGCAGATTTGGTGTGTCCATTTTGGGTTTCCTTAAAAAAGGCACATCTGTCTGTTTATTTATATGACCTGCCATTGTATTAGGTCTCTATTGACATGAGTTATTTCCTGATGTCCTCTGTGTCAGAAGAGTGTTTGTATATTGGGAAAGCCTTGATTTAGCTACTGTATTTCTTTGATTACAGACGTGCTGTGAATCTTAATATTATGTGCATGGTACATAATTCAGCTGGATTTCTCGTTCAGTGAGATAATAGCATAGTGGACATGAAAGTAAAGTATATATTCTGTAAAACTAGGGGATTAGCAAATTGCTGTTAAATTCAATCCTGCATCAGTGTATTTGTCACTTCACATTGCGGTGGCTGCAAGTCCTATTTTTGAAGAAAACCATGATGAGTGAAATATATAGACAGCCACTGCCAACATTTCTTACTAAAAATGCTGGTTGCTTGGCTATCAGGCATAATAAAATCAGTACTTTGAGTCAGCAGAACAGCTGTTTAGAACTATGCTAGATATGTAGCTCAGTATTCGTCGCTTAAAAGACTTATTTGTTTCAGTTCTGTAAATGTGTTGCAGCCATAGACAACCAGACATCTGGCAGTGTCAGCACTGGCAGTCCATGACCTATTTCTTTTAATCCTCAGATCATTTTTTTTTCTCACCTAAGATCCCTTTTATTGCTAGGTGAATTCTGTATATAGGCCCCAGTTGGAGCTGACTGCTGCCCCACCATTCAACTGTCAAAGAATAGATCATTTACTAGGATCAGAGGCTCTTGCACTGGTCTTTTGAACATCAGTGGTGAAAGGGTGTAAATTAGCTCTGAGTCAAGGTGTATGTATATTTGAATTGTGGAACTTTGAAAGGTTTGATTCTTTTACTTAGGGATAATGCAAAGGTATAGCTGTAAAGTATATGTTGTCTGGCTGCCCAGCTTCTGTAGTTTATTCCATTCTGACTTACTGAGCTCTATATTTTTATATTTGTTTTTATACATTGTGTGGATTTAGTCAAACGTGTAGATTTCTGCTTTTAACACAATTTATTCTCTTTTATAACAGGTAGTTGGAAGAGGCACCTTTGGTGTGGTCTGCAAAGCAAAATGGAGAGGAAAAGATGTGGCTATCAAGCAAATAGAAAGTGAATCCGAAAGAAAAGCTTTTATTGTAGAGGTAATGCCCACAGCAAACCATTTAATGTAAATCAAGGCTGTACAGGAATTGGGGCCCTTTCACATGGGAGGACTTGTCCAAGAGGATCGGCCTGCTCTGCAAACGGATGACAGGTTTGTGTCCACTCTGCACAAGGACACAGCCCACTGTTCTCTATGGGGCGGCTGGATGTAAATGGACCACCTGTCCATTTACATCCAACTGTTATCTGATCGATGATGATGGGAACAGATCTCCCATCTGTCTGTTTTGTATCAGATCGGATGCAGGCGGGTGTAAACGGACACGTCTGTTTACATATATCCGCCTCCCCATAGAGCACAGTGAGTTGTCCAAACGGGTCTGCCTGTCTCTTTCTCATGTCTGCCCGTGTGAAAGGGCCCTTAAATGCAAAAAATACCATTCTCCTGGGAATAAAAATGTTTTTAGTGAATAGTGAGTGTTATTTTCAAGAAAAATTCCAGGTATGGTATTTTATACATAGTTACATTGGTCCAGCTTGGAATAGCGGTCTGGCTATAACCATCTGGTCCTGAAAATTTGAGTTAAGCTTTTCAAGTCTTTTTGGGACAGCAGCTTCTGTACGCCTTAAGGGTACACTCCATGATGCACTACTAATGATACAGACACGATTACTAAATCCCTACTTTTCCTTAGTAAAAAGTGAGGAGTAGAACTTATTTAATGCAGTTGTCTTCTAGTTGTCGTTTGCAACCAACTTCGCTTCAACATCTTTTATGGGGCCAGTATGTTCTGACCTTGGCTCTTTTACCATTAATAAATGTAAAGAATTTTGTGGGATTTTTTTTTTTTCACTGTCCTCTGCTATGTGTCTCTCATCGTCTATCTTAGCCATCCTGATTGCATTTTTACACTTCTTATTGCATTTCTTGTAGTGTTGGAATGCTGACAATGACCCCTCTGCCTTATATTTTTTAAAGGCCATTTTTTTCTCTTTAATTTTTTTTAACAGTATAGTTTAGCCACCCAGGTTTAACCTTCGCTCTTTTATATTTATTGCCCATTGGAATGCACTGGATGATACCTCTATTTACTATGTTTCTAAAGTATTCTCATTTTTCCTCAGTGTTCAATGTTTCTAGGATTTGGTCCTATTTAATATCTTGTAGTACTGAGCGCAGTTTAGAAAAGCTGGCTCTTTTGAAATTCAGTGTCCTTGTACTAACCATGTGTCTCCTCTTCCTATGATTAATACTGAATGTAATTATCCTGTAATCACTACTTCCCAAGTTGTCCTGTATTTCCACATCTGCGATCAGATCTGCGCCATTTATATTGAATAGGTCTTTGTAATTAATTTTGTAACTTGTTTTCTTGTGTAATTTTAGGATTTTAAAAGTACAGTGGTTCTTTGGGTGTTGCATTTTTGTTTTTTTTATTTTAAGAATGGTGTGGCTCTGCTAGTTGGCACTTTTTGCCATGTTTCCATAACTTAAATTTTGTTTTATTTCAGCTTCGACAGTTGTCACGTGTGAATCACCCAAATATTGTGAAGTTGTATGGAGCCTGCCTAAATCCTGTAAGTAATATTTGCTTAAGGCTGTCTTCTTAAGTTGATGCTATTATTTTAATTGGACTTATGCAAAGTATATTCCCCGTAAGGGAGTTTTTGGTAATGTATGTAAATTTCCCAGTCTAAGGGGACTGACTTGTGTCGATGGGCTTTTTTTTTTTTTTTTATGCCCAAACTGTCTTCATACAAGTCTATGAAAACACAAAATCTTCTTGAAGCAGGTCAAATGTAGGGCATAATTAGGTAAACTACAGAACAAATGGACCTGTGTATCAATTCAGAATGATTCCAGTAGTGGCCAGCTGATTTCAAATGCAAGATTATCGACACAGCCCAAGGCTTGTCCTTGGATGGGGATGGTAATATCATGATCATGGCTGCTTGCCCATTTTTGGTTAACAAAAGATTTCATTCCAATATAATCGACTTCAGAGTTGGAATCAGAGCAATTAAAGCGGTTCTAAAGCCTTAAGGTTTTGTACCTTAAGTAGAAAACCTGTGCTTGGGACCACTCCCCCACCCCCCCCTTATAGTTACCTGAGCCACATCGTGATACAGCAATGTGTATGAGAGCAGCAGCTCTCCTGGCCCTGTCCATCCTTACAGGGCAGATCCATAGCAGTTGGGGCCATTGGCTCGCACTGCTGTCAATCAAACACTGTGATAAGGGTGTGGGGGCGGAGCTGTGCCTCGCTGTCTTTGACTTCCTGTGAGAGCACAGGCTGAAGAGGATGAGCCAGGTGCACTTGCGGTGGACCCAGAAAGGGGAGGATCCCTTTACTGCTCTGTGCCAAACCATGGCACAGAGCAGGTAAGTATGACATGTTTGTTTTTTTAAAGAAACAGCTAGAACACTACAATCATGTCAAACTGTACATGTTTTTGGATAAGATACTATCCCTAACCAATCCGTGTGTGTTCTTCTCCAAGCTTCTTCAATTGAAGCTCAACCACATTTCAGGCTTGAGGTAAAGGATCTGCCATTGATGACCACTTTCTGAAAATGCTAGCTGCCTCGTTTTGTCAGACTTTAATCATTTTACCATTCCTATATACAGTCAGGTCCATAAATATTGGGACATCAACACAATTCTAACATTTTTGGCCCTATACACCACCACAATGGATTTGAAATGAAACAAACAAGATGTTATTTAACTGCAGACTGTCAGCTTTAATTTGAGGGTATTTACATCCAAATCAGGTGAACGGTATAGGAATTACAACAGTTTGCATATGTGCCTCCCACTTGTTAAGGGACCAAAAGTAATGGGACAGAATAATAATCATAAATCAAACTTTCACTTTTTAATACTTGGTTGCAAATCCTTTGCAGCCAATTACGGCCTGACGTCTGGAACGCATAGACATCACCAGACGCTGGGTTTCATCCCTGGTGATGCTCTGCCAGGCCTCTACTGCAACTGTCTTCAGTTCCTGCTTGTTCTTGGGGCATTTTCCCTTCAGTTTTGTCTTCAGCAAGTGAAATGCATGCTCAATCGGGTTCAGGTCAGGTGATTGACTTGACCATTGCATAACATTCCACTTCTTTCCCTCTTTGGTTGCTTTTGCAGTATGCTTTGGGTCATTGTCCATCTGCACTGTGAAGTGGCGTCCAATGAGTTCTGAAGCATTTGGCTGAATATGAGCAGATAATTTTGCCCGAAACACTTTAGAATTCATCCTGCTGCTGTTGTCAGCAGTCACATCATCAATAAATACAAGAGAACTAGTTTCATTGGCAGCCATACATGCCCACGCCATGACACTACCACCACCATGCTTCACTGATGAGGTGGTATGCTTAGGATCATGAGCAGTTCCTTTCCTTCTCCAGACTCTTCCCATCGCTCTGGTACAAGTTGATCTTGGTCTCATCTGTCCATAGGATGTTGTTCCAGAACTGTGAAGGCTTTTTTTAGCTGTCGTTTGGCAAACTCTAATCTGGCCTTCCTGTTTTTGAGGCTCACCAATGGTCTACATCTTGTGGTGAACCCTCTGTATTCACTCTGGTGAAGTCTTCTCTTGATTGTTGACTTTGACACACATACACCTACCTCCTGGAGAGTGTTCTTGATCTGGCCAACTGTTGTAAAGGGTGTTTTCTTCACCAGGGAAAGAATTCTTCGGTCATCCACCACAGTTGTTTTCCGTGGTCTTCCGGGTCTTTTGGTGTTGCTGAGCTCACCGGTGCGTTCCTTCTTTTTAAGAATGTTCCAAACAGTTGTTTTGGCCACGCCTAATGTTTTTGGTATCTCTCTGATGGGTTTGTTTTGTTTTTTCAGCCTAATGATGGCTTGCTTCACTGATAGTGACAGCTCTTTGGATCTCATCTTGAGAGTTGACAGCAACAGATTCCAAATGCAAATAGCACACTTGAAATTAACTCTGGACCTTTTATCTGCTCATTGTAATTGGGATAAAGAGGGAATAACACACACCTGGCCATGGAACAGCTGAGAAGCCAATTGTCCCATTACTTTTGGTCCTTTAACAAGTGAGAGGCACATATGCAAACTGTTGTAATTCCTACACCGTTCACCTGATTTGGATGTAAATACCCTCAAATTAAAGCTGACAGTCTGCAGTTAAAGCACATCTTGTTCTTTTCATTTCAAATCCATTGTGGTGGTGTATAGAGCCAAAAATGTTAGAATTGTGTCAATGTCCCAATATTTATGGACCTGATTGTAGTATATTTAGACAGAAATTAATTATAGATAGGACTTGAGGCACAATATGAAGTTTCAAAAACTATTTCAATAAAATCAGAAATTTATTGCAAAACCCTTAAGAATATTTTTAAACCATAACAATTAAAATCTAATCAGGTACTACAGTTTGTCACCAATTAGGAACAGCTCCTCTACAATCCTACACAAAGCAAATGGTAGTATACATTCATAAAGAAGTACACAACACGCGTCAAGCGCCCTACACTTGAAACTTTTGTGTTGAATGTATATGAGATGCTATACTAATATTACTTTGTGTTGGATAATGCAGTGATTGTTTGTAATAGGTGACACACTATAGTAACCTATCAGCCTTTAACATTTTAAAAATGTTCTTAAGGATTTTGTAATAAATTTCCTGATGCTATTGATATCATTTTTGAAACATCAGTTTGTGCCTCAAAAATCTCATCGACTGTATTGCTTCTGTTTAATAATGTTAGATCGTGGACCTACAATAAGCATACTACAAAATAATGTTGGGATTCCTTGGCACTATACATTTATGGGTCATTGACTCAGAACGCAAAGCATCAACAGGACAATAGGGGAAAATTACTATTCTCAAGGAAAGAGGTCACATTGACAGCATACATAATTCTGTTATGACAGGTGTACTTTAACATGGAACATTAACAAGTTAGAATAAGAGAGGATATACTGATTTACTTGAAAAGCTAGCAAACCTAGATTTGGCTTTTCCAATAAGGGTCTCAACACACCCTACCACTAATAATGGTTATTCTTGCATAACCCCTGTCACTATGGTTAATGCTTAGTGGTGGATATGATGTCAGCAAAAATTGGCAACTACACCAATTTATAACTAGTTTTAGAACAGGGTGTATGTGGAAGAGCTTTACAAACAAAACAAAATGTGCAGTATATCCCAGCACACTTATTAACTAGACAGCAAAAACAATCTGCCTTAAAAATGGGCTTTAATTTTGCACAACAAATCTATGTGGAAGCTGCACTGCCTTGTCGGTGTCCATCTGCCGCACTGCCCCATCTCGGCCCCTCTTCCGTGCTACCTCATTGAGGCCCCTCTGTATAGTGCAGTTCTAATTCTTGCCAGGCCAGGTGTGCCGGGAAGGAGCCCATTCCTCCATAAAGGTACAGCAAAACACCAGAAGCCCAGCAAAGCTGTAGGTGATGGATGTGATGCATTTTACTTTATTGTGTGACCATCTTGTACCACACTTGATGTGTATATTAATGCTTTGTCTGCCTTGCATTAGGATCCTTACTTTGACTATTTTGAGAAAAATATGTACCGCGTTTCACAATTAAGCTAGACAGCTAGATCATATGATCTCTGACCAATATTTGTTACAGTAGTGCATCTGTTTTTATTTTTTGAGCATTGCGGATCAAATATACTGTTCTAGTGTGCATAGAAACAAGGGCAATTATATGCATTGTTTGAAATTTGTTTCTTTTAAGTGAGTCTTTTAAATGTAAATTTGAAAAATCAATAAAAGATTATTGTTCCCCTTTATGTTAATAGCATATCTATTGAATATCTTTGTATGTTTTTATCTCATTTTAATTTTAGATGATTTTCTCTGCCTACAGATTGACTCAATTAATCACTTTTTTTTTTTTTTTTTTTGTATTGCTTCTTCTCTATATTTCATATCACATGCTTGCATTAATGTCCAGTAAATGCCTCTTTATGTATGTGCTTTTATATAATAACTGTGTTCCAAGTATTTGGTTGTCAAGGCAACTTTAATGCATGCACTTTGAAAGAAAAAAAATGTAATGGTTGGAGAAATGGTTTCTGTCACTAGATTATTGCAATGCATTAGATATAGATATGGACATATATATATATATATATATATATATATATATATATATATATATATATATATATATATATTCCAGATTATTGTGGAATGTATGCAAATGGAGTACTTAGAGATTTATATTCTATGTTTTAGGTATGTCTTGTTATGGAATATGCTGAAGGGGGCTCACTGTACAATGGTGAGTAATGTGTGATTTTTACACTTGACTAGAGAGCTGCATTCACCTACATTAAAATAAAATTAAACTTTGTTATGGATATACTACATTTTCTTAGATATGTTAACATTGTAATGTATTTAATTTATGATTTTAATATATAGACTTTAAACTCTTGTGTATGTTATTAAGTTAATGAGCCTTAAGTATAACATGCTCTTTGATATTACTTAAATATCTTGTTGTTGTCTTAAAAACTTGTTTGAGTGCAGTTTCTTCTCTCCACTGAATATATCTGAAGCTGGATATTCAAATGTACCAGCATTTTACTGTGCATGGCATGACAAAATCTGCAGATATACATCTATGAGGCTATAGGCATACCCACATACCAGAAAGTGAACTGCTGTTTTTAGGAGGAATTCCAGACAAAAAGATTTTTCAGGGTAATGCTTTAAAGCACAATTAGCATATCTGAATGTTCCCTATAACATAGGACGTCTTTTATATACAATATAATTTTTTTTATTCAGGTCCACTGTAAGTCTAGGTTCACATCTGCACATTTGCTTTGCATTTGTGCAGGCACAGCAATCCTTTCATTTGAATGGGCTGCTGTACCTGTGGGAAACAAGAAAAGGTCCCCAACCCTTTTCTGAAACCACATGGTACGTTTCCATGCACAGCAAAACGTGCCACCTTTTCTTATGCATGGGGGTGCCATTAAGAATTAATGTAGCTCTTGTGCATCTGCTAAACAGCAGAGCGTTTTGGCTACAGGTGCGATAACAAGTGTGATCTACACTCATACCCATGCGAACAATAGCGTGAACCTAGCTTAAATGGGGAACTATTTGTTAGTGTAATATGTTGAGCTGTTCTTATGTTTCCATCTTGTTTTGCAGTTCTGCATGGTGCTGAGCCCCTGCCTTACTACACAGCTGCTCATGCAATGAGTTGGTGTTTACAGTGTGCCCAAGGAGTGGCATATCTACATAGCATGAAGCCAAAGGCTCTTATTCACAGGGACCTTAAACCACCAAAGTAAGTTCATACTTTACTTTTGACAGCATTTTTTGTTTTGTATATTTTTATTTTTTGGAAGAATTTCAACTTTCAATGTGAACAATAATATGTATACTAAGCCAAAGGTTTTTCTTCAGAGTTTGGGTTCAGAGGAGGATTCGCACAGGGGACTTTCATCATCCACATGGCTGTCAGAGTGCAGTGTATACTACTTATATGTGTTATTTCAGATATGTCTTTGATGTCAAAAGTAAGGCTGTAATTAGGGATCAGCAATCTCTGTATGGGCTTTATTCATCATTTGGTCCTGAAGCAAAAACAGAATAGGGTACAGGATGGAGAAAAACCATCTACATAAACCTTAACTAGTAAACTTTTTTTTTTTTTTTTTTAGTAATTTGTTTTATACACAATTTGTAAAGCTGGCTGCAGTATAACTTAAAATTGTACTGTCCTCGCATTTTTATTTGCTATGTTTTAGAACAAGAAATAAGCAATCTGTTTTTTTCTAAAATTTTTTTTTTTTCTTTTTATATATTAAAACATAAAAAAAACAGAAGTTATTAAAGTGACACTAAGTCCTTATTCTCCAAAAATAATCTATACACATCCACTACTTAATCTCCACCTGTCTGGTGACAAGGCCAAATGTTATCTCGAGCTATTAAAATGTATTGGATAAAGCAGGAATCCTTTAGAGCCCCAGTGTAGTTTTTGTTGCTATGTGTCTCCTGGGATGATTCATCCTCTGTACTTGTCCTTGTGATCATTAAAGCAAAACTAAAGATCTATACTTACCTTTCCCTCTACAGTTCCTATCCCTCCCTGGCATCTTCTCCTGTGTGCCGGTCATCAGCCATCTTCATTGGATGGCTCAGGATGATGTGACTCTTGCACATGTGCAAGAGGTCGTCATTCCAGAACACTGGGATAGTGCTGGTGTCATAAGCTGAGCTGCAAGTATGCATCTTAGTTTACATCACCAAGAAGACAGCAACCAGCCAGATAGGTGCATTGTGTGTCTCTTCTGCAACAAAAAGCCTGTTTTGTTTGCTGCTTGCTATAGTGGAACATTAGTTCCACTTTAATACTGTGACATAAACTAATGAAGAGTCTGAAATTGTATAGTTTTTATTATAAGAGGGAACAAGGGGAAATTTTCAAATAAGGAAACTTCTTCTGATTGCAGTTGTCTAAGAGGACATTTTCCCCTCACTTTTGGGACATTTAAATATACTTTCTGTTGTGTCTCCAGAATAGGAAAATAACTGTTCTTGCCAAACAACAAGACATGGCAGGGACTTTACCTGTTCACACCAGTGTGCTGCAGTAATGTACTTAATGTGCATTTGTGCTTTGCAGTGCTATTCATTTTGAATGGCAACCCTGTGCACCTCTATAAAAGAACCTGTTTGCAGCGCAAGGTTATATATCATTGTCGTGGCGTGCAGTGATAAAAAAAAAAAGTGCACGATTTTTAGGTCTGTTGCGGTGCACTATTCATCCATTTGTAACGAATGAACTACTTTAGTACAGTGTTTCTCAACCTTTTATTCAGTCACACCACATAAAAAACATAAATGTTACTTATCAGTCCCACTTCCCCAAGCACACAGTCTCCTCTTCACAACAGAACATTTACCTTTCGCTCCAGCAGTGGCAGTGAATAGGAGGTAGTGAAGACATCCATCTTCTCCTTAATTCTGGGGGAGACCCTGCATGCCGACTGCCCTGCATCGGTGCTATCGAGCAAGTGGGCTGGCTGAAAACACCTTAACAATGAAAGATGCCACGCGTACTACCCTAGAACATCATTGGTTGTTATGCTGGTGACGCACCCACACCTTGGCAGCCTGTAACGCTGATCCAGGCAAACTGAGTCCTGTGCTTTCAGGGCATGTGCATTAACTGCAACAAAGCTCAACTAACTGAAAAAGTCAAACATGGATTTTGGCTAAATACACTTGACTATTGCTCTCATCTGTTGGGTCATTTCAAATTGGCTTTATTTCTTTATTTGAAATGTTACCATCTACCTGTAAATGTTCAAGATGCAGGAAAAAAATTGTGAGTGACCAGATAATTATTAAAATGATGAGTTTATCTCCTAAAGTACTGTTTTCAATATTACAGTTTGCTCTTGGTGGCTGGAGGTACAGTTCTGAAGATATGTGACTTTGGTACAGCGTGTGATATTCAAACCCATATGACTAACAACAAAGGGAGTGCTGCATGGATGGCTCCTGAAGTCTTTGAAGGTAAAACATTGTTTAGCGAATTTCCCACCTGTTACATAAGTAGATTACCTGTTTAAATGGTCCGATAAATAACTATTACATGTACACATTTACGTATTTGCAACCAGTAGTAAGGCTAGCCAGAAATGCCTCATTTTTTTTCTGATTCCACCTTCCACACATGTGAGGTGGATGGAGGGATCCTCTTCTCTGTGCCATTGTATTCTGACAGCAGCTTGAGTCGCTGTCAGAATACACTAATCATTGGGTGCACATAGCTGATCAAGAAACATTTCCCAGCAGTTATATTCAACAGAAGTTGAGCATTGGATCAACTTCTGTCAAGCGGGACTGGCCACAGCTGGATTGAAATTCAGCTGTCCCTGCTGAACCATCCAAATTTCATTTGATCTATGGGCAGCTTTAGAACTGTTGGTTACTGCTTTACATTTTAGCCAGAATGAAGCAGAGGGGGAACACACATTTCTCTTGTAGCAGAAACGGACCCATTTTGAAATTGAATTCTCTGTTAGTCAAAGGTAGCCAAGGAGGTTAGTAGCCATTGTGGGGCTTTTACTGGACTACTGTATTTTGGAGAATAAGTTCCATGCCATAATTAAAGTTTATTTGTAAAACTGTTTTCTTTTACAAGTAAACAAAGAATTACCGAAAAATGAATTTATATTTTGTAAACATTAAAGTGAAAAAAAAATAAAAAATATAATTTTAAAGCAAATCTTTTGTAAGCCTAAAGTTTCTGAAGCTCCTTTGGTATAAGTTAACAGTTGTCTCTGGGTGCCTGCACATCAGTCCAGCTTTTTTGTGATGTGCTCAGGGACTCTCTAAAACCCTGGGCACATTTATATACAAGTTGGAGCTGTCTCGTGATGATGAAAGCCCTGCTTCTTCAGGTTCCCACCCTGTGGACGTTGGTCCATCATCTTGCCATGCAAAAGTTAGAAAAGAAAGGCATCCGGGGGCATCACTCTACTACGGGGAGGGGACTGAATATGGCGCTGTGAGGAATAGGAGCTCCAGACGCCCACCACATGTGACAGCGTACTGCCTTACTTGAGGCCCAGGCTGATGTGGTGTCTGATACCGTGGGGACCCCGAGTGCGGGCTGTCTTGGTGGCGGCCGATGAGGGGAGCTGGTGTTGACCGGAGGAGCCCATGGGAGAGTCGCGGGTGGTCGGAGAGGAGTGCTAGACCCTATGGACGCCAACGGACTGGGAGCTGGAAGCGACGGTACCAGAGGAGAAGGGGACAGTGAGAGCATCCAGGTGACCGACCATGTGACCAACCGACCACCCATGTGACAGCCCAGGGGACTATGGCGGCAATTTTAAATATGACAAGCGGTCCTAAAGGAATAGGAGAGCAGTGAGACAGCAGCCTTGGGAGACCCTGAAACACCCCAGGCCTTTTGGCACATAGAGTTCCCCTCTCTGATCCGCCTGGACTTTCCTGGAGCCTGGCTTGGAGACCTCGGCGGGGACTGGAGATGCAGCGGGATCGGGTGGTCCTGTGCAGTCAGCTCGGAAGGTGGTGGTGAGTTGCCGTAGGTAACGGCAGGACATTTAATCCTTTGTTGTTCCTGATATAAACTGTTGAAATTTGAAATACACCTGTGCACTGGGGGGGAAATAAAATTATTTGAGGACTACAAGAGCTGGGGTGTTAAGTGGTGGGCGGAACTGACTAGATTATTACTGCTTGTAAAGTAAAACAATAGAGGCGGTAAAAACCATCAGAAGAAAAGAAAAAAGGGTCTTTCCTTCTAATGGTAAATTCTTAAACGAATTGAAATGTAGATCTGTTAATGGGGGGGATCAAAAAACCCCCAATCAAATGTAAATCAAGCACAATCAGAAAATACATGCCCCTGCAGGAGAAAAGCCCAGAGATCCAAACTATGGTGAAACAGCATGAAGGAATTAAAAAGTATGGTGGAAGTCAAACTAGACTCTCATTCGGGACACTGGAAGAGAATCAAACCAAAGAATGTACAAACGTGGAAAGGATAAGAGAACAAGGAAATATGGAGCAGCAAGGAGCCATGTCACAAATACCTACAAAAATTGAGATGGCGGAGATGATAGCAAAACTGGAGATGTCCATGAAAAGTGAGATGTAGTCGGATACTAACTCAAGTTGACAAAGTAAAGGGGTCAATGGAAGTATATACGAAATTACTTAATAATTTAGAAACGTAAGTGGAGGTGATGTGTAGAGAACAGAGAGAACTCTTATTTATAGTGGAAGACCAGGAGAATCACAGTAGAAGAAATTGCTTAGGATCCGGGGTATACCAGAAGAAGAGGAACAGGAAGAGGATCTACAGGAGAAAATAAAGAGTGTGTGTAATCCAATAATGGGAAGATCAGCGATAGAAAAGTTAAAAATTGAGAGAGTACAAAGGATAAGGCGGCCAAAAGGAGTACCAGTGGAAAGCCCCAGAGACGTGATGGTTCGATTTTATCACTTCGAAGATAGAGAATATGGAAAGGTTTGCGTGACTCTACCGAAATAAAATATGAAGAAACAAACTTGCATATTTTTGCGGACATTACTCCAGAAACACTGGCTAGAAGAAGATCTTTGAAACCGTTGTTGGAGCATATGAGAAACAAAAAAGTTCAATATAACTGGGGCTTCCCAGCATGCTTAATTGGAAGGAGAGATGGAAAATTGGCAAGGCTGAGGTTCCCAGAAGATCTCAATGATTTTTGCGAGAAATTAGACTTGCAGAAAATAGATCTTGAAGGATGGCCAAAGGGGCCTAGAGAGAGTGGATGGCAGGAATTAGGGAAAAAAGCATCTAAGAAGAAGTAGTAGGGGGCATGGTGTGGGGGCGGGGGATGAGGTTTGGAGAGAGAGACTTTTTTTTTTCCCCCTCGCTCTCCTTTTCCCCCTGGCCCTCTGATGCCGCACCATAGTTCCCTTGCCCCCGATCCCTTCTTTCCTAGTTTGAGCTAACAGGTGGGACGGATGGGGGGGCAGTGAGAACATGGATCTGGTGGGCGGTCTGGAGGCTAGGAATGTGGATGATATGAGTTAAAGATTGTGGCTGGCATGCGTGCTTTGAGTCTCACCTCATACTAGGAATCACAAGTGGTGATTTTTCACGACCGATTCCAGGGCAATATGTAGGCCAGGAGGGTATTAGGGTAAAAAGAAGGGGGAAGGGAGGGTGGGAAATGGGGTGGTGGGCGGGTAAACGGGGGTGGGGGGGTTTTGGTAAGGAGGGAAGGGAGAAAGTCCATATCTTAAAATGTCTGTATCAGTCTTTTTGTGTTGGGAATCCTGCTAGGGTAGGGAAATAATAGTTGAAATGAGCTTGATTAAATTTATGACATCTAATGTGAAAGGATTAAACTCCCCGACAAAAAGACATAAGATACTTAGGGAAATTCACCAACACTCCATAGAATTAGTGCTTCTTCAAGAGAACCATATAACCCATGATACAAATGTTAAGTCATACATGAAGTACTATGCAACGTGGTACTAAGCAGACTCCAATTAAAAGAGCTAAAGGGGTAGCAATTGGGTTTTCAAAAAATGAGTTTTATTCTGAAGGGAAGAATGAAGGACCCAGAGAGCTGATTTTTATTTCTATGGGGAAAGTTACGAGGATCTGAATATACACTACTTAATATTTACTGCCCAAATAAAAATCCAGTAACATTCTTGGAGGGAGTGTTAAGAAAACTTTCTGAATTTAAAAAGGGTAGTCTGGTTGTGGCTGGAGATTTAAATCTGTGTTTGGATTCTCAGATGGATGCGTCATCTTGTACGCGGAGAGAGGGGGGTAGGAAATCAAAATTATTGAAGAGGTTATTACATTAGTTTCAACTGACCAATACTTGGAGCATAAAACATCCAAGAGAAAGAGATTACACCTTCTTCTCCCCAATACATGGATCGTATTCAAGACTAGATCATATAATGATCGAACATAGACAACTAGAGTAGTCGGTTAGTGCCAACATAGAGGTTACGTTTATTTCTGATCATGCTCCTGTCACAATGATAAAATAACAGCGCAAAACATAGACCTCTACATAAAATCAAAAAAGTGCAAAAAAAAAAAAAATTTTTTGTAAAACAAAATACAATTTAAATGGTGCAGTCCATCAAATTCTTATATAAATAGTGAAATCCATCAAAATAAACTAAAGTTCAAAAATATTCAAAAATATATGTGCAAAAAAAGAAAAAAAAAAGAAAGAAATCTTTTCACATTCTTCTTGTAAAGAAACTTCCACCTTCCACCCGTGAAAACCAATATCAAATGCACTCACCAGATATAGGTGAATAAAACGCCTTTTAGGAATTTTATGGGATCCTACACCCTCTTTCGTATCCACTCTATAGGAATCCTCTCCTCCAACATGGGCTCCACCATCCGACCAGGGAGAAAAAAATCTCAAAATAGTGTAATATTGTAAGACACCATTTCATATGTGAAATCAAGGATTAAGGCCACTCACATTAATTTCACTTTAAAAAGGCATATTTATTAAGGCAAGCTTCTCTCCAGATGAACAGTAGATGCAAGGTAACCTCTCACAGAATCTCACATCACAGTCCCAGGTTCCAGCAGAAGCTCCACAGAGACCACACATATATAAATCCCACAAAGATGGCCGCTGGAACGCACCACTCAGCGTGCGCTCCACTCACCGGAAGTGACGTCGGACATGCAAAATAAAACCGGAAATGCGTCAACGCGTTTCGCCCCTCCCACAGGGCGTTCTCAAGACAATCATTTCCTGTTTGAAGCTCCCTTATATACCCAACTGGGACCCCACCCCTCCGTTGTGATAGGTCTAAACCCTCCCCGGGATTATCAAAACAAACCACTCCTCCTGTGATGTAACGTGAGAATCCTTTACACATGAGGTCTATGCCTACATAATTCAGAATACTTATTAGAACCATTAGATTATCTCCCAAAAGCGACATGTGTAAACCACATGCCACCAGTGGGAAAACACGAATGTATTTTAAATTTT